TTTTAAATTCATTTGAGCTCTATCAAACAATAATTTTCCAATTCAAGTGTTTATATGAAGTCTTTTTATTCTGTCATGTGACAAATTATTAAAGCATCTGAAATAAAATGGAGGAATCCAATAAGAAGCAAGAACATAGAATTAAAGACACCTTTTTAAAATTTAAAAGAGGCAAAGACAGGAAGGGACGGAGACGGGCAGGAGAGCAGCACTGGAGGCAGTGAAGTGTGTCACAGAAGTTTGTGTGTGTGGTGCGGGACACAGATTCCTCGACGCTTCAGAGCTGCTGCATATTTGATGCTTCACTCAAGCTCATTCTCAGAGTCACGCATGTTGTTTCCACACCAGAGCCTCAATACTCAAAGAGATCGGAATCCATTGAGGATTCACTGGGTGACAGTTTGCAGTTGCGTTTCCCTTGAATCACCAGCACAAACTAAGACAAAAACAGTGAATGCTGGAGGTTTTTTTGAGGAGTTGTGTTGCTGCTGCTGCTGTTGTTTCACTCCATTCCACAGAATGGCAAAGAAACAGAAAGAGCATTTTTTTCTATTTCTAGTGGCATCATCACATCATACCAACTCATCTGCTGTTGTTTACGTTAGTTTGCAGTAGTTTCTCTCTGACAGACTTGAGAGAGAATGAATAATGATCATCTATAATGGATACAGCATTTAAATAGATACAGTCAATATGCAAAAGAGCAGCATGGCATCACAATGCACAGTGAAAAACCTGGATTACTTGTGTGCAACATCGACTCTCTGAGCTGAACTCTCATGCTTTGGTGAAAACATACACGCATACATATCAAGGATATAGCTTAAAACATTATGTTTTAATATTTTTGAGCCTTTCAACAATACATATTAAATACTCAAAATGCATAAAAATGCATTTTTTTTGTGTGAATAATGCAAGCAGAAAATCTATTTTAAAACAGCCATGGCATGTATTCTCCATGCATAAACAATAATATTTAATATATATTTTAAAACATGTAATTGCATTCATATAATATATGTAAATGCCACACAGAGATGTCCATGTTTGAGTGATTTTTGAAGCAGTTCACTAAAACAGACGGAGCTTACCAACTGTTTTTGCAACTGAATATTAACTCTGTCCAAACTTTCTCATACTCATAGGAGACAAAAATGGTCTGTGAACCTAATGACAGAATTGAACAATTTTTAAATAAAAAAGTACAATAGAATCTTTATAATATTCATATTTCACCAGCAAAATCATCAGAAATATATAATTCTTATTCAATATGCATCATTCTGTGTTGATATGTTCCTGCAAAACCCCACACATAGTCTTAACAGATCCCATTTTTCCCCACTAAACTACTCCTGACAGTAAGTTCATGCACAATGTAAGAGCTACTGAGGAAATTCAGTTTGCGACTGTCCATAGCCCTCCTGTCTGATGTCACCTTTGCACTAAAATATGATCTACGGCAACTAACTTCACATCATGCAGAACAACAGCATCATTTCCACACACACCAACCTGTAGAGAATCTTCGACCACATTCATCTGACTAAATATAATCTCTTCTCCAGGACCATTTAAAATTCACAAAGCTTTTAACAAACCACAATACACGATGATGAGAGCAAATGCACTCTTACAGCAGCTGTCAATCAAATGAAAGCATCACCGCAGCCGAGACTGAGATTAGGACACCATCTGCATTTCTGTCAATAATGATTTACACACTGAATCAAAACAGTAATAGATCTGATGTTGGAATTAATTACATTTCAACTTCATTTCATAGACCCGCCCTGAGTGAGCTGTCATCAGTTGTAGACAAGAATGACTCCTAAGCGATCGAGGTGTTTTGTTGTTGGATGTAATAATGAACATAGCAGTCGTCATGTACTCCCGACATCTGAGCCGCTGAAGATGCAGTGGATTACATTTGTTTCTGAAGGGAATGCGCCCTCGATCTACATAAATCTGTCTGTGTTCACGCGAATCATTCGTGATCTAGATTCACCAAAGTGACATGCAATAAAACAGCTTGCTGTAGAAAGAGCTGTTTTTGACAGGGTAAAAACGGCGTTGTTTTACACTACAATTGAGAAATTTCAACCAAACTATGTTACAGACTTTTCATTAAGATCCTAAAGAATCATATCAACTTGTTGAAAATGGGCATCCGATGACCCCTTTAAGCAACACAACTGTTTTTAACATTGACAATAATAAGAAATGTTTCTTGAGCAGCAAATCAGCATATTAGAAGAAAGAGCTGTTTTTGACGGGGTAAAAACGGCGTTGTTTTACACTACAATTGAGAAATTTCAACCAAACTATGTTACAGACTTTTCATTAAGATCCTAAAGAATCATATCAACTTGTTGAAAATGGGCATCCGATGACCCCTTTAAAATGTTGAAATTTGTTTGAATTGGCCTTCAGCGATTCAGATGGAAACTGTGTCTATCATGTTTCTCATGGTTTTAATTATCAACATATCCATAACAGCAAGAGTGAGAGTATATCATGAGAGGACTATGTGAATGGAAATTTGAACACAGCCCTTGGGCTCCATGGCAACGGAAGGTTCTAATTCGGTTTCCCTTTGTTGTGCATCTGGCTGAATAGAACTTAGAAATATGGTTCTGAAAAGAGCCGTGACAACAAAAGGAAATTAATTTGAATAAAGCCCAACCTCTCTTCGGAAAAAGTCCATTGAGACAGACACAGCCTGACTCTCTCTCAGTGGTCTGATGTACTAATGGTGCATTATCTTCAAAGAACGCAGCAGGTTGTTTAAGCCACATTCAAACTCCATGACGCTGGAATGAAAGGGGAACTGGATTTCATGTGGGACACACACAGAGACAAATGAACATGCGATAACAGAAAACCCTCAAAAGAAACAGAGCCACTGAACAAAGGAAGACTATTCACCACATTGCACAATAATGAGGCTTATTGGGCTTAATATATGGTAACCTTTGTTCTGTTTTGCTCAGTGTTTTTGTCCTCGCTGTGAACCCTACATTATATGTAGCACAATGATGGTTGTGCAGATGTATGTGAGACCAGGGATAATTTAACTTTTTTACTTTAGCAAATTTATTTTTGTTGTTAATTCTTGAAAATTAATTTCTGTAAAGACATCTGAAACAACTTCAAGGAACAAATATAGCGGGTACATTTAATACAGTAGTGGGTTCTATTGCTGCACTACATGGGGTAAGTTGTCACAGTCTGCAATTAAAAAGCCTGTTATAGACTCTACATCAACATGTAAACATTTACTATGATTTTTATGACAATTATGAAAGTCAAAATAATTCATTAAGCAGTAAAAAGGTAACAAATAATAAAATAATAACAACATAAAAATGACCAACAAATACTTTTAAAAAATATATATTTGTATAAAATATTTTAATGGTTGTGACAACTTGCCCAACCTGACATTTAAGAAACATTCTCCTGTTCTGAAAGCATGGTGTTGCCCAAATATCATAATGCATGTACATATTGGAAATTTAGTAGACAAAATTCACCAAAATTATACTATGAAAATTTTGAACTCATGTGCCCGGTTGCATAAAGCACCTTAAGTTTTTCCCTTATGAGACTTCTAACCAACATAAAAAAAACAAAACAAAAACAAGCATTTCAAGCACCTCCTCTAGCATCAGCAGTATACTGTCACTAATGAGCACAATCAACCTCCGCCTACAGTCACTGACCACTGCCACTCTCACCTTCGGGGGACAGGTGATAGTATCTTGCCGAAAGTGCACCAGCATGCATAAGTAATCAAGCACTGTGTTGGGCAGTGATGCCCAACCCTGTTCCTGGAGATCTACCTACCTGCAGAGTTCAATTCCAACACTGCTTCAGCACACCTGCCTGTAATTATCAAGTGCTCCTGAAGATCTTAATTAGATGGTTAAGCCGTGTTTGATCAGGGTTAGAGCTTTGCAGGAAGGTAGATCTCCAGGAACAGGGTTGGGCACCTGCGTGTAGGGTACTATGAAACATCTTTTAACCAAAAACCTGCTCTTTTCCTGTGCCAATTCAGAAATGGTTGCTTTTATATCAAATCTCCAGATCAGCACGAAATGTTTGAAAAGTTTCTATGGTATTTTCTTTTCCTCTCCATATGATTCCTATTAAATTAGTTTTTTGTAAATGCAGTGCTGCTTTGTTTACAGCAATAACCAAGGAAATGCTATATTGCTGCTATTTCATAAGTGCCACCAACTCTCAGAGAGTTCATTTGCAGTTCCATTCTTTTTTTGCTTAAAATCCTGGAATTATACAATCTATTTTAAATAAAATACAACTGCTCTTCCTACATGTGTGTGACGTCTTTGTTTGCATCATGATTGAAATACAGTGGTTGCCAGTTTGGCCAGTAACAGAGCAAATAATAAATACATTTGTTTAAGAAGAAAAAATAGCAACTGGCATAAAAAAAACAATGATCTGTGATTTTTCAAAGCCACTCAATGCTGAAAGAATTTATTTCAACAAGCAAGATGCTATACTTAAAGGGATAGTTCACCCAAAAATGAAAATTCTGTCATTAATTACTCAGGGTGAAAAAAACACATTCATCAAGGATGCATTAAACTGATCAAAAGCAACAGTAAATACATAATTTTACAAAAAATTTGTTTCAAATAAATGTTGTTCTTTTAGAATATTGTATTCATCAAAGAATCCTGAAAAGTATCACTGTTTTCACAAAAATATGAAACAGCCCAACTCAGTATTTACAGTGAATCTAGTAAATGAAGAATAAAGTATCATCAAGCATTGAATTCAGTCTAAATGCATTTATAAAACTGTGCATCCCTGAGAGAAATGCAGAATGGTGATTTCAGTTATTAACGAAATATTTTAATGAATGTTTCACTGGGAAGAAAATATATTTTTTATTTCACAGAAGAAATGTATACAGGTTTAGAATGACGTGAAAGTGAGTAAATGACAACCATTTTTATTTTGGCTGACCTATCCATGTAAGAAGTCCTTTCATTGAGAATGATGTGTAACTAACTAAATAAATCAATAATATTTTCCTCTGTTTCCTGCAGCTCTACAGCTCCTTTTGAATGACAGTTTACTTCACTGATAGTAAAACTGAAAAGATATACAGACATTCACAGGACAAAATTATTCGCACTGTTCAATATCCAGTTTGTTCAGTGTGCAGTTTTGGTCGTTCAGTAGATCAGAGAGCATCTTGACTCCTGATTCTCCAAGGTTATTGAAGCTCAGATCCAGCTCTCTCAGATGAGAGGGGTTTGAGCGCAAAGCAGAAGCCAGATAACCACAGCCTTCATCTGTCACCATACAGATAGACAATCTACAAACACACACAGAAACAATGAAGATTATCTGAGACATTAGAACTCATGACAAAACCTTCATAAATCATGTGACCTGAATGAGGTAAACAAACATTTAGCTGCTAGTTTTAAACTGCATTTAATATAAATTTTAGATAATTAATGCAACCCTCAGGAAAATTGGGACATTTTGTAAAATGCTCTAAAATCAAGAATCTCTGATGCATTCATTCTCTTTAACTTTTATTTAATTGACAAAAGTATATAGAAAAGATTTCCAAAGTTTTTACTGACCAACTTAAATGTATTTTGCAAATATAAACAAATTCTGATTTTGATGGCTGCAACACACTCCAAAATAGTTGGGACAGAGGCAAACTAAAAGAGAAAAGGTTATAGAATATCCCATTCTTTGAATTGAAACAGTAAGCAGGTACTTTGGTAATAGTTATCATGTCATATCATGCTTGGGTATAAAAGGAGCATCTCAGTCAGTGCAAACAAAGCTGGATCATGGCTCATGACTTTGTGCCAAATTTCAAAGAAATATATTATGTTTTCCATTCTTATGTATTTGTTGGTCTTGTCATGTGGGGTTTAAACAAGTGTACCTGGAGTAATATTAAAAGACAACCAGCAAATTCTGTCATTGTCTTTTATTTCAAAAACTCACATATGATAAGATAATTACATTCAATACGGTGGTGATTTGTGTAATCATGCATAATAAATCTACACATCTGAATCCCAAACCTCAGTATCTTCAGCTGACAGTCTGGGCTCTTCAGTCCATCAGAGAGCAGCTTCACTCCTGAATCCTGCAGCTCATTGACACTCATGTCCAGCTCTATCAGACGGGAGTTTGATGATTGTAGAACTGATGCCAAAAATTCACAGCACTGTCCAGTGAGTGTACAGCCTGACAATCTGAACAGAGTAATAAAAACTGAATAATTACTAGGGTTGCCCCCTAATAGTTGATGATCCTGATCCTGGAAGGCCACTATCTAGCAGAGTTTAGCTTTAACCCAAAAATAAACACACCTAAATCAGCCAATCAAATTCTTTTGAATCACTAGAGCAGGGGTAGGCAAGTTCGGTCCTAGAGAGCCGCAGTCCTGCAGAGTTCAGCTCCAACCCTAATCAGACACACCTGAATAAGCTAATCAATGTCTTCAGGATTACTAAGGCTATAGGCAGGTGAGTTTTTTTTTCAGGGTTGGAGCGGAACTCTGCAGGACTGCGGCTCTCTAGGACCGAACTTGCCTACCCCTGCACTAGAGACTTCCAGACAAGTGTGTTGGAGCAGGTTGGAGCTAAACACTTCAGGTTAGTGGCCCTCCAGGTGCAGGATTGGACGCCCCTGACCTAGATAAATGTGGCTAATATTAGGTGCATATCCAAAAGATTGTGAAGAGTGTGTAAGTGCAAATTAGTACCATGCTTACTGCACAACGTTTAACTTAACTTCTACAACATCAGAGTGCCTCTTCTCAAAGTCCAGCTTTATTGTGAGCAATACATAGAGCTCACTTCTCCCCAATGCCGTAGACAAACTTCTGTTCCCTTTCTCATAATATGAGCATAGCTTTGAGTCAGGTATAGCCTAATTGTCCAGATTCTTGTAGTGTTACAGTTTGCAGCTATTCATTTATTCGTTTTTATATATATTTATTTTGTTTGAGTTCTGACCTCTGAAAAACTGAGTTTTCGTTTCATGTTAAGGCTATTTGTCCGTCGGCCTGATTATGTTTGCACAGATATTTCTCTGTTAACTTTTCAGTTTACTGTATATTTATTTATTCATTTGTTTTTAGTTTATATTTATGCCAAAAATGTAAAAAGAAATGTAGTTACATTTTGTTTTTTAAGATAAGAATGATAATCAGATTATGGATTATTTTGTCTGCATTTTGATCTCAGAAAAGTTCATGCAATGTTTGCTGGTGTCACTGCAGCAAGCCTTATGCACGTGCTTGAGTGCTTAATTTATATTTTAAATGCTCAGTATTATCGTTTAGTACTTCTTTTGGCTTAAATGAACACTAGCAGTCAACTAGGAAAATCTTTAGTCGGCCAGCCCTAAAAACTATGTGTCCGTTTAATATAAACTGATAAAACTGGAAACTCTCTTTCATAAGTTCTTCTGAAAGGAGAATATGGTTCTGATTACCAGCTGATCTATATAGCATCTAACAGATACTGAGGATCATAAGCAAGTAGATTTGCATCTCCTGAAAGAAATAGTCATGTTTAGGTAAGTTTGGGTTTTAAATTCATCAGCGTTACCTTAAAGGGGTCATCGGATGCAAAATTCACTTTACATGTTGTTTGAACATAACTGTGTGTTGGAAGTGTGTGTACACTAGAGGTCTTCACGGGTCCACTTGGATCCGAAAACCCGAGGTCCGCCCCAAGACCCGAGCGGGTTCAGGTCCAAAACTTCAACGAGTACCGCAGCCTCGGGTCTCGGGTAATTTAAAATAAGCATGCTTTTCCCAAATGGACCCGATTAGACCCGAATTCTTTTAAACTATCCCGAATGCGTAGGTTACGTTCACTTTCGTGTTAAGAGAGGAACGCACATAGAAAAGGAGCAACAACTAATTCATAATCCTCGCACACAGACATCATCTTATAGATATGAGATCCATCAGGAAAATCCACTCGCTTCATTATGCTGCGTGTTCATGCAGGGCTTTTCTTTTTTGTGTGCAGAAGGTAATAATGAACATAGCAGTCGTCATTTACTCCCGACATCTGAGCCGCTGAAGATGCAGAGGTTTAACATTACTTTAGTTTCTGAAGGGAATGCACCGATCCCCGATCTGCCTAAATGCGTCTATGTTCGCGCGAATCATTCGTGATCCAGCTTCATCTACAGTAGAAGTGAGTATAAGGGTTTTTTATGAAACTTTGCAAATCGCCTTTCCTAATATGTGCTAGTTAGCCAGTTTCACGGCTGAAGTTTACAGTCTGCTCGTCACCCCACGGAAGAGAGGGGCGGGGTCAGCAGAGCTCATTAGCATTTAAAGCAACATGGACTAGAATGGCTTGCTGGTAACACAGCCAATTTTGACAGGGTAAAAAGGGTGTTTTTTACACTACCATTGACAAATTTTAACCAAAGTATGTTATAGACTTTTCATTAAGACCCTAAAGAATCATATCAACTTGTGGAAAATGGGCATCCGATGACCCCTTTTTAACTGTGCTGTTGTATACAAAATTCATGCAATAGAGAATCTACTAAATAGTAAATGCATAGTCAGTTTATAATGCTTCAATATACTGAATGAATGAATCTCAAACCTCAGTATTTTTAGTTGACAGTTTGGGCTCTTCAGTCCATCAGAGAGCAACTTCACTCCTGAGTCCCGCAGCTCATCGCGAATCATATCCAGCTCTATCAGACGGGAGTTTGATGATTGTAGAACTGATGCCACAAATTCACAGCACTGACCAGTGAGTGTACAGCCTGCCAATCTGAATAGAACAATAAAAACTGAAAAATTACATGTCCATTTCATATGTTTCTGCTAAAAGCAGAATATGGCTCCAATCACCAGCTGATCTATACAGCCATCTACCAGATACTGAGGATCATAAGCAAATAGATTTGATTCTCCTGAAGTAAATAGTCATGTTTGGAGAAGTTTGGGTTTTATGTTCTGAGTAAATAAAATCAACGGCATCTTAAACTGCATTGTTTTCTATGCAACAATTTTCTGCATTCCCTTTAGAAAGTGTAAGTCTTATACATATACAAAGTTCAAGCATTAAATAATCTAATAAATATATATAGTCATTGTTTATAATGGATCAGTATACTAAATGAATGAATCTCAAACCTCAGTATCTCCAGCTGACAGTTTGGGCTCTTCAGTCCAGCAGAGAGCAGCTTCACTCCTGAATCCTGCAGGTCATTGTTACTCATGTCCAGCTCTATCAGACGGGAGTTTGATGATTGTAGAGCTGATGCCAAATATTCACAGCACTGTCCAGTGAGTGTACAGCCTGCCAATCTGAACAGAACAATAAAAACTTACTAGGGCTGCCCCCTATTAATTGATGATCCTGATCCTGGAGGGCCATTATCCAGCAGAGTTTAGCTTTAACCCAAAAATAAACACACCTGAACCAGCTAATCAAATTCGTCTGACTCACTAGAAACTTCCAGGCAAGTGTGTTGGAGCAGGTTGGAGCTACTATAAACACTTGAGGTTTGATGATTGTAAAGCTGATGCCACAATTTCACAACACTGACTGGTGAGTTTACAGCATATTAATCTGAACATCCCTTACGAAACAACAATATATGGTAATATACTGCAAAATATAATGCGATATATTACATGATACATTTCCATATATTGGAAACTAGTGCTTATATTTTTCAATATACAGTAATATATGCATTGACAATATATAGCTATATATTGATATCTGTTAGTGTTTAATGTTGTATTATTTTGAAATGTAAAAGGGTTTCTGGTATGTGTAAGTTTGTGGGGTTACCATTGTGCAGAAGAGTAGAGCCTGTGGTCAGGAAGACGACTGGCCAAACACTGTTAAATTATATGTTACTTTGTTTAAAAAGTAATGATAGTGCACTGTTCAGCACAGTGATAGTCTGTTCACTAAGTGCTTTATTATGAGCAAGTGTGCTTATGCCATTATAAGCTAGCTATATTTTAATATATGAAACATGCATATCATAAATGATTGTTAAATATAAGAAACATATATTTCCATATATGTGTGTGTATATACTGCATGAATATATGTTCAATATATTTTTACACATGCAGTACCAAATCTTATCACATGTACATCTATATATTATAAAGTGTATTACTGAATATAAAATGACACACATTGTGATATATAAGTAAATATATTGTCACATATTTTGCAATATATGAAAAGCAGCAATTCCTTATGTATTATTCAATATATTGTAATATATTTACGCAATATATTATTCTGTATAATTTCTAATATACCATTATGTCGGTTAATATATTGATCATTCATATATTAGGAAATATATTTTCTTTGCGTAAGGGAATCTGAACATATATTTTATGTTATATATGCTGATAAATTACAAGTTCGACTGAAAGAAGAATATGATTCTGATGACCAATTGATCTATACAGCCATCTACCAGATACTGAGGATTATAAGCAAATAGATTTGCATCTCCTGAAGGAAATAGCCCTGTTTAGGTAAGTTTGGGTTTTAAGATCTGAGTAAATTAAATGCTGCATCAGCGGCACCTTAAACTGTGCTGCTGACTCTTGACACATTATTTTCTATGCAACCATATTCTTCATTCCTTTTAGAAAGAGCGACTCTTATACATAGATATACAAAATTCATGCATTAAATAACATATTATTAAACATTAAATATATCAATGAATTTCAAACCTCAGTATCTTCAGCTGACAGTCTGGGCTCTTCAGTCCATCAGAGAGCAGCTTCACTCCTGAATCCTGCAGGTCATTGTCACTCATGTCCAGCTCTATCAGACGGGAGTTTGGTGATTGTAGAACTGATGCCACAAATTCACAGCACTGACCAGTGAGTGTACAGCCTGCCAATCTGAACGGCATAGTGAAAAACACTGTATTTGATTACTGCGATTGGAAAGACTCAAGGTAACTACTGTCCAGCATTAAGCAAAGTTAGCAACAGTCTCACACAGGTGCTGCTTGCAGCGTAGGTCTTGTTTTGTGTGAAAACATAGTGGAAGGCACTGAGGTTTTACAACCTTTAAAGTGGAGTGCTGAGAAAAATTGTATGAATGAATGAATTATGAATGCATTTCTGAAGTTAGCAACTGTCTGCAGCAAAATATCAATGGTATTTCCTTTTCATATTTCTTCTGTGTGATGCCTAATAAAGTAGTATGTATTAGTGCAGCATTGGTTTGTGTACAGCAGTTACCAGGGAAACTGCTCTATTTCTGTTGTTCTATAAGCTCCACCTACTGTCAGAAAGTGGATTTACACTTTTAATTGAGTAATTACTTCATTATTTAATATAGGGTATGTTTAAATTAATCGGTCATTAAAACAATTGGTAACACTTTAATATAAGAACCAATTCTCACTATTAACTAGTTGCTTATTAGTATGCATAGTACTACCATATTGGCTGTTTATTAGTACTTATAAAGGACATATTCTGCATGACCATATTCTACATCCTTAATCCTACCCAGTACCTAAACTTAACATCTACCTTACAAACTATTAATAAGCAGTAAATGAGAAGTTTATTGAGGCAAAAAGTGTCACCAAACAATTTATGGCAAAAATGAATTGGAGTAAAAACATTTTTTATTATTAGCTTTAGAAGTTAAAGCTAACGTTCAGTTTACACATTTGCATACAATGTTGTTGACTATTTTATCTAACACTAAATAGCTATTTAATTTAAAGGGGTGGTTGATTGTGATTTCACTTTTTTGTACGTTAGTTAGTTTGTAATGTTGCTGTTTGAGCATAAACAATATCTGCAAAGTTACGACGTTGAAAGTTCAATGCAAACGGAGATATTGTCTTTTAAAATTATGCCAGTTTAATGCCTACAAATATGGCTGGTAGGGACTACAACGAGCTACTTCCCGGGTTGGTGACATCACAAACCCTGAAATTGACATAAACCCTGCCCCTGGGAACATGCAACAAAGGGGCCGGGGCCATGCTGCGCTGCTTTAGAGAAGAGGAAGAGTTGCTGCCATGCCGTCAAAATTAGGGGTGCACGAAAAAAATCTATTCATACAGTTTTATGCAAACGTTTGGGCACCCCTCTGAGGCTGCATAATAATTAGCTCTTTCTTTATAAGAAAAGATTCTGGTGATATACCATTCAGTTTCTAGAGAAAGCTGCATAAGGGGTGTTTTTCAGACAGAAATTCTTAGTGTAGCAGTACTGAGTTGTATGACAAAGTCAAATGTGAAAAATAGGCTGTGCAAAAGTTTGGGCACCCTTTCAGTTGTGTTGATTTTAATACATGTAGTCTCTTATTGTTGATTAATTACAACACAATATTGATTTGATTGGCTCAGTGAACCTTAACACTGCAAACTAAGGTGCAACACATCATGGAAAATTATATGTAAGGTAGCTAATTGCTAGTTGTGCTTCTCCTTGATTCTCTACTGGAAAGTAGCAACATGGGAACCTCAAAATAACTCCCTAATGGCCTAAAAACTAGGATAATTTGTCAGTATGAATTAGGAGAAGGATACAAACATTTTCACAAAGGTTTAAGGTCTCTGTCTCCACAGTCAGAAATATTGTTAGAAAATGAAAGGCCACAGGAACAGTCCTTGTCAAAAATATCTGAAAGGCAACAGCGAAGAATGGTTAGAATGGTCACAGACAAACCACAGAACATCTTGCTCCAAGAGCATCTTGCTGCTGATAATGTTATTGTGCATCGTTCCACAGTCCAGCACACTCTGCACAAGGAACAGCTCAATAAAAAGGTGATGTGGAAAAAGCCTTTTCTGCATACTACCAACAAGCAGAGTCGTTTGAGGCTCATCTGGACAAACCTGAATTATTTTGGAATAATGTGCTGTGGACAGATGAAACGACTCAGGTTACGTATGTAACCATGGTTCCCTGAGTAGGGAACAAGACACTGCGTCCTCTAGGTTTCCCCATAGCGACCCCTAGAGGACGCAGTGTCTCGTTCCCTACTCAGGGAACCATGGTTACATACGTAACCTGAGACGTTCCCTTTCAAGGGAACTTCAAACTGCGTCCTCTAGGGGTCGCTATGGGGAAACCTAGAGGACGCAGTTCGAAGTTCCCTTGAAAGGGAACTAAGATAGAGTTATTTGGTCACCACCAGAGGTGCTTTACATGGCGGAAAAGAAGAACCTGCTCCCTACTGTTAAATTTGGTGGAGGGTCCATGCTGTGGGGCTGTGTGGCAGGTGCAGGTACAGTAAAACTTGTCAGAGTTGAGAGTCACATGGTTTCCAACCAGTATCAGCAGATTCTTAAGAACAATGTTCAAGAATCAGTCAAGAGGTTGAAGTTACACCGGGGTTGGTTGTTGCAGCAGGACAATGACCCAAAGCATTGTTCCAAATCTACCAAGGAATTCATGCACAGACACAGATACAATGTTCTAGAATGGCCATCCCAGTCCCCAGACTTGAATATCATCAAAAATCTATGGATTGACTTGAAGAGGGCTGTCCATGCTCGTCAGCCATCAAACTGACATTTTACAAGGAAGAATAGTCAAAATACCTGCAGTCAGAATTCAGGGAATTATCAGTGGCTATAGTGTCCACAGGCTGTTATTTCAGCAAAAGGTGGCTCTACTTAATATTGATTTCCTTATTCCATTGGGGTGCCCAAATTTTTTGCACTTGTCTGTTTTTGTTATGATTCACATTGCATTGTTTCTGTTGATTCAATAAATTCTATTTCAGAATTGAAATGTTACTGTATCTATAAGGTATTTATTTATTTAAGGTAATTATCAGGGGTGCCCAAACTTTTGCATAAAACTGTATATAAGGCCCTGTTTACACTATTGTGTTTTCAGCGGTTCTTAATCCTGTTCCTCGCATCCCCTGCTCTGCATCTCTCTCTCTCTCTCTCTCATTCAGATCATCAGCTCGTCAGCTCCAGCAATGAACTGTGTTCCAATTATACACTTTATGTGTATAGATAGACAGATATTTTTCACATAGCTACGAGAAGCATTAAACATGGACGTGCACGCTGTTGCTGTGGTAACGGGCAATACTTGCTGGCAAACACTTCTTACTATTACAAAAATGCTACAATGCAATCATGTATTCTGCTGTATTACAGCTTTAATCAGGATAAAACCGTATATTAGAAGCTAACATAAGCATTAGCATTTACTAATAACAGCGTATCTAAAAGTATGAGACAAAAAAAAACATACCATTCTGAAACGTCCTGTAAGAGCCGTGCTTGCACAGGTTCTGCGCGATCCTTTTCACTAATATTCTCTGGGTCGCAATCGGGCTCAAATTAATAAGCAATATTGACGACGTCATTGTTTACAATACAAACGGAGCGCATGCCACTGAGATGAGGGGTGTGACGTTTCTGGACTTCACCAGGTGGTTTAGCCAATCACAACACACAGGGCCAGCTAACCAATCTGAGCTCATTGCATATTTCTGAGGGAGGGGCTTCATAAAACCAGGAAATCATCAGAGCGTTTATCGGAGAAGGGACAGAGCAGTGTAGAATAAAGGTAAATTATGTAAAAAATAATGTTTTTTTTTAAAGCGAAGCATTAACATGACTGCACCCCATAAACACAATCAAGCCTAGAAAAAAAAACAGTCAACCACCCCTTTAATTATTTGGGCTGTGTTGTTGGTAGTGAACAATTAATTCAATTACTATAAATGTAATATTATAGTAATGTGCAAGTAATAGGACAACCTATGTAGTATTAGCATTAGCAGCGATATATATATTTTTTTACCCTTTACAAAAATTTAATTTTGACTACATTTATTTAAAGACAGAGCCACAATTTTTTTCAGTAAATCACTGTCTAATAAAAAAAGAAAAAATAATACATTTTATGTTTAGTTTTCCCCTCACTGTAACGAAAACATACCAAACCATAACTTTAAAACCAAGGTACATACCAAACCACCAATTTCGTTTGCTATTGTACCCCTAATAAAAAAAAAAACACATCTGAATCTCAAACCTCAATATCTTCAGCTGACAGTTTGGGCTCTTCAGGCCCTCAGAGAGCAGCTTCACCCCTGAGTCCTGCAGCTCATTGTGACTCATGTCCAGCTCTATCATGGGTGAGGTTGGTATCTGCAGGGCCAAAGCCACAGTTTCACAGCAGGTATCATTGAGTTTACATGAGGAGAGTCTGTAAAAAGAAGATATTTGTCAAAGACATATATTGTGTTTATCTTGTAGGACCAGTTCTCTAAGAACATTCAAGCTTTCTAGATAAACGAGCCCGGTCTCATGAAAATGCATATCAACACCACAATAAATTTTTAAAATCATTTTTATTTTACGTAGGGCTGTCAGTTTAACGCGTTAACTTAATTAATTAGTTATGAAAAAAAATAACACGATTAAAATATTTATATAGTTAACGCACTGGCCCCGCCCACAATCCTGTACATCATCTTACATTTGACTGTTGACAAACATGATGCAGGACAACAACTCCATAAATGCAGTTATGCCCTAAAAATTCAAGATATTGGGGCAAAAAATTGAATACTGTTGGTAACTAAGCTGTTTTGAATTTCACTGCATGAACAAAAAATACAGAGATGTTTCTCGATCTATCTTCATTTGTGTTCCATACTTTATGTTAGGCCATTGTAGCCTAAACATTTAACACAATAATAGGTTTAAATGATCTTTTGGGGGTATTTTCACAGCCAAATTTAGTTTGCAATTAATTAGATTAATTAATCGCAGCACCCTGTAATTAATTAGATTAAAACTTTTAATCATGCAGTTATGCCCTAAAAATTCAAGATATTGGAGCAAAAATGCCCCTGTATGGGTTTTTGTCTCATATTTTTATCATATGATAAGTGATATCACACCAGCAGCGAGAGCAATATCACACGAGTGCAAATGTGATTTTATACAACAGTTCAGTAAATAAGTTAATATTGTGCAAAATGCAAGATATTGTGGCAAAAAATGCCCATGAGTTTTTGTCTCATATTTATATCATATGATATGCAATATCACATGAGCAGCGAGAGCAATATCACACGAGTGCAAATGTGATTTTATACAACAGTTCAGTAAATAAGAAGTTAATATTGTGCAAAATTGAAACGCAATATTTTGCATTTTGTTTAATTTTGTCAAAGAAAATATTACCTATAAAGCCACAGCAGAACTGTTGTGCATCTCCGAGCAACACAGTGATGTTTAGTTTCTGAATGAATCCGCGTTTTGAACGAATCGTGTGAACCAGAGAGCCGTTTCCTGAATTCCTGAATGAATCAGCCATTGAACGAACTGACTCATAAAGACATTTACCGCTATCTCTGCTGGTAGTTTTAGTTTATTTTAGTATCATTTCATTTATATATATATATATATATATATATAAAAAACATTAAAGGGATAGGCCTAGTTCACCAAAAATAAATAAATACATTCTCATGTTGTTTCAAACCTGAATGACTTACTTTCTTTTGCACAACATAAAATAAGGTATTTTTGAATACTGTTGGTAACTAAGCTGTTTTGAATTTCACTGCATGAACAAAAAATACAGAGATGTTTCTCGATCTATCTTCATTTGTGTTCCATACTTTATGTTAGGCCATTGTAGCCTAAACATTTAACACAATAATAGGTTTAAATGATCTTTTGGGGGTATTTTCACAGCCAAATTTAGTTTGCGATTAATTCGATGAATTAATCGCAGCACCCTGTAATTAATTAGATTAAAATTTTTAATCGACTGACAGCCCCGATTTTACGTGCTATTTATGCGCAGAATCTTTGTTGAGCATACGATGCGCATGTGTTTGATGTGCATATAATACGCCCACTGCTCCGGGTGTGTGTTCACGGTGTGTGTGTTCACTGCTGTGTGTGTGCATTTTGGATGGGTTAAATGCAGAGCACTAATTCCGAGTATGGGTAACCATACTTGGCCACATGTCACTTCACTCTTTGTTGGCGTGCATATAATACGCATTTTGGCGTATCCTTTTTTAGTAAATACAGTTTTACTCCCCAAAATCAGTCAAAGTTACTTGCTTTGCTTTTCTGCAGCATCTCACAGCTGGCAAGAGACTCATGTAGCCTCCCCATGTGGTCTCGTACATATTCAGGTTGAACTCATCCAGCACATCCTCGGACATCATCAGTATGTAGGCCAGCAAGGAGCACATGGAAGATGAGAGGCTTCTTCCTGGAGATGATCTGAAGTATCTTTGGATTTCTGTGTTAAATGAATTGTCTTTGAGCTCCAGTAAGCAGTAGAACATGTTGATTGAAGTTTCAGGTGAGATGTCCTGGCTTTTTAATTGTTCTGTAATGTACTGAGTTACATCTGTGGCACTGTATTTGCTGTCTTCAGTGTGTGTGAACAGGCCTCTGAGCAGTTTCTGATTCGTTTCCAGTGAAATACCCAGCAGAAACCGTAAAAATAGATCTAAATGTCCTTTCTGACTTTGCATTACTTTCTTAACAGCCTTCTTTAGTAATTTATGTAAAGCAATATTTTTGTGGGTTTTATGTAATTTAAGCTGAGGGAGAAACAAATATCGGACTCTGTTTTGTGGTTCTTCAACGAAAAACTGAAGCTCCTCCATGTTCTTGTTCAGGTAGCAGAGGAACACATGGACTGCAGCGAGGAACTCTTGAACACTCAGATGCACAAAGCAGAAAACCTTCATCTCGTGAAGTCCAGCTTCTTGCTGAAAGATCTCAGTCAGCATTCCTGTGGACTCAAAGTCTTCACTCACATCAATACCACATGCTTTCAGATCTTCCTCAGAGAACACAATATTTTCCTTCTTTAGTTCTTCGAACGCTAGCCTGGCTAACTTCAATATCGTTGTTTTATTGGAATCTAAGAGCTTAGTACGTTCTCTTTCTGTTTTTCTGTCACACTTTTGGCTCTTCATGTTCATCTGTATCAGCAGGAAGTGGATGTACATTTCAGTGAGTGTTGTGTTGATGTCCTCTGCATTGTTTCCAGTGGAGAAGTGTTGAAGAACAGTGGCTGTGATCCAACAGAACACAGGAATGTAGCACATGATGTAGAGACTTCGAGATTTCTTAATGTGTGAGATGATTCTGGAGGCCTGAGTCTCATCTTTGATTCTCTTTCTGAAGTATTCCTCCTTCTGCTGGTCAGTGAATCCTCGCACCTCTGTGAACAACCCGACATACTCAGGAGGGATCTGATTGGCTGCTGCTGGTCGTGATGTCACCCAGACGAGCGCTGATGGAAGCAGAGTCCCGTTCACCAGACTTGCAAACAGTCCATCTACAGATGATCGCTCCTCAACACTCGTCACCATTCCACTGTCAAAATCCAGAGTCAGTCGACTCTCATCCAGTCCATCAAAGATAAACGCGAGCTTATTACTATATATCTTATTTATCTTCAATGTTTCCAGGCCCTGCAATTCAGGATTACATCTTTGTAGAATCTCATGCAGACTGATCTCTTTGTCTTTGATGCAGTTCATCTTTCGTAATGGAAGTAGGAACACAAAGTCAATATCCTGATTGGCTTTTCCTTCTGTCCAGTCCAAAATGAACTTGTGCACTGAAATGGTTTTTCCAATGCCAGCGATGCCTTTGGTCAGCACGATCTTTTTCTTCTTTTTATTCAGACTAAATACATCATTGCATTTGATTGGCCTGTCCTGTGATTTACGGGGTTTAAAGGCATTATCAATCTTCAGAATCTCATGTTCATGATTGACTTCTTTAATATCCCCCTCTGTAATGAAGAGGTCTGTATAAGCGTCTGTGAGATGTACTTCTTTTTTCTTTTTTTCATCAAAAATGTGTTCTACTTTCTCCTTCATGTTCTTTTTGTGAGTTTTCAAGAGTTCCTGCAGCCAGGAATCCTCTGTTATGAAAAAAAAAAACCTTACATTTATATACATATTAAATTTAAATACATGTAAAAAAAAAAAAAAGGTGGGAACAAACAACGCTAGAAAATGAAACACATTCACACTGGCACGATTATCATCAAAATCAGCTGTTGCAGACGTTATTGCAGATGGTATTTAAATTCATAGTACTGAAAGCAATTCTATTCTGTATCCAAGTGACCCCACTTTAAGGATGTGTGTACGGTTAATTCACCTTGTTTTCTTGTGTGTTTCTCAACCGCTTCTAATGAATTCAGCACCGTGAAGAGAAAGGAAAAAAAGAATGAGACTTTATTCATTCAGGTATACAGAATAGACACTGCATCATGGTTTCCACACTACTCTAAGCAACACAACTGTTTTCAGCATTGATAATACTGAAATACATGAGCAGCAAATCAGCGAATGATTTCTGAAGATCATGTGACACTGAAGACTGGAGTAATGATGCTGAAAATCCAGCTGTGATCACAGGAAAATAAAGATATTCAAACAGAAAACAGTAATTTTAAATTATAATATTTTACAATATTATATGTATTCTTATTAAAATAAATGCAGCCTTCTTTCAAAATGATATTCTTTAAAGGCTGCCTCTAGATATGCACAATTATATAAATCTATGCTGCCTCCTGTTTTTAATGTTTTATTACCTTCTGTGTACTTGTTCTCTAAATCTAAAGCCAGCTGGTTCTGGTTTATCCTCCTCAGGATGGTCAGTGTGATCTTCCCAGCTTCTTCCGGTCCATAATTCTCCACCATCATATCCACTGTGTCAGTGACATCCGCATTCTCCAGTTTACCAGCTCCAATGCGCCCATCTTGCTGTAAAATACTCCTAAATCTCTTCAGATTTTCTTGTTTCAGGTCATCTAGAATATCATAAAGCAGCACTGATACAGATGCCATCGCCCTTCATAGACTATTGGACCAAAGGAAAAGGAAAAAGACTTCAAAGGGTTGAATTGTTATTGCAGGGGTCTATGCAGTACATATAAATTAATGTGCATAATGATATGACAATCAGATCAACTATTATGAAACACTTTTTAAACTTTTAAGAGCTAAAATATTGTTTGGATTGTTTTCAGTTTAAGATTCTGTGCTCAGTATATTATTTTGGTTTGGTCTGAAAGATTCATCTGAATGCTTGTCTCGTCAGACTTAACGCTTTATGATCCTTTTTGACTTTTGGGCCACAGTTCATAATTACACTCAAGTGGTAGTTTCACATTTTGTCCTAGACTTCTTGGAAAACGTATCTTTATCATTTCAGACCAGACTAGAATAAAAAGAAAAATGTCACATTGAAATTACTAAGGGCCAATTTTACTTAACAGGGTAAATTAGTGCGAAAAACGTACAGCACCGATGGGCATGGAAAATTCAAGCTAAATAAGATAACAAGGGGGCGTGGGCAGTTGTCATGGGAACACACAAGGGTAACTATGGGAACAAACAAGCAGACTTAAAAAGACTTAAAGGGTCTTTACAACACTTTAAAGACAGACACCCGGATCAAATGAAAGAGTTCAAGCAGGCAAGTTTCAATTTCATTTTTAATATTTAGATCTGTTATGTATATCATTCCATATTTTAATTTGAATGTCGGATTGAAATAAACATTGCCGTTAGCGTAGTTAATCGTTAGCATAAGCGTGGCGAATGCTAATATTATGAGCATTAGAATTAAGTTTCTTTATTAACTATTTAATGCTCCTATAACTTTTATTAGGGTAAAAAAACTAAAACATGAGGACATGATGGTATTTACTATTTTTACACACCAGAGGCTTTTAAATGAATTGTGAATCTAAAATAT